TTAATATTAAATTCAAAACTTAATTTTTAAATTTAATATATAAAATAACATGTATTTATCAATAATTTAAGTTTCAGCTTCAAGAATTGCTACAATGACTCTAAATTGATTAATGCACAACTGAACGCCTGGTCGTCCGTGGACCTGACTCTAGGCCTACATCGGCATTAAAATCTTTCACCTTTCCATGGATATATTTATAGTACTTCATATCAAACTAAGTTCACTTCTTAATTTGATTAATTAATTAGACACACATATTACTCAGGTTGAAACTAAAGAACTCGTAAAGGCTGGATTTGGTAGTTCATGATGTTAAATTCTATGACAACTAATCAAATTATACTCCTTGTTTTAGCTAAAGAACTCATAAAGGCTGAATTTCGAGTAATATTTTTTTTGGTAGCTATGTAATGTTTAAAAAAGACCATAACTAGTTCTCGTAGAATTTAGCAGCCTGCCGGTTTACTCGGATATCAAATCACAAGGTTAAAAAAGACCAAATTTAACTAGTTATTTTCTGTGTAAATAGGAGAAAAGTGCTAGTTACATTTCACTAATAATTAACAAAAAAAGAAAAAAGGTGATTTTATCCAATTAATAGTCTAATGCAGTTGACAATTCTCAGTTAGAAACATACACGAAAGGAACTTATTTTTTAAGAATATCTTGAGTTTCAATTTTTTAAATAAAAGTATACATATCAAAAAAATTTTTTTTTTATAAAATTCAACTTAACTTAATTTTAAATTAGTTATTCTGAACCTGACTTCCAAAAATATCAGATTTTCACTTTCCTGCACAAAAGTTTGAAGATCAACTTACCGGAAAAGGCAAAAAGAAAAAGAAAAAAAAAAGAAAAAGAAAAAAGACTTTCAAGATGCCGTTAATTAATCGTGCAGGGAAGTTCGCAGTAGCAGTAGAGGTTTTTATTTTTTATTTTTTATTTTTTTTACCCCAATTTCCATTAATTAGTATTTATGAGGTTCGTGGAGCTATCAGCCATGGTGTTCCCAATCCTTTTTTGTCATCTCATTTAGCTTACCAATTCTGAGGACCGGTCCCTACTCACCAAAGTCGAGTCCACATCATATAGGTCACCTACGCACTGCTAAAAGAGTAAAAATCAATTAATTGTATTTCAATCTTGGAGTATCAAAAGAATTTTTCATGAATTCGATCAGGGTTGATGACACTTTGGTTCCATCATCAAACTCTCACGGCACAGCCGACGGTCCTAAAAATTGAATACTAGTATGAGATCATAACCACATTTATTCTCTAAGCTTTTTATCCAAAGTCAACCTAGCTACTAAATGTGAAAGATACACGAACTGGTGGGATCAGAACCACAATTAATTTTAGTATGTGAGAACGAACTTAAGGAATGAAGAAACTGGATCTTATGTACATATATTAAAAAGAACAAAAAAAAAAAAAGAAGAAGAAGAAGAAGAAAGAAACTAAGATTTTCGGACTTTTGTTTTAATTTTTCAAAAACAGTTTTCATCTATTGGTTTTAATTAAATAGTTAAATATTTTAAATTATAAATGTCAAATATTAACTATTAACTATTAATTTTTTCAAAATAATTAATTCAAACAACTTATTCTTCTTTTTTTTTTTTTACATTAAATTAAAAAATTTTAATTAATAAAAACCAATTCAATTAAATTCTTGTGGTAAAAAAATTGAGACTTGGTTGGTAGTAAGAACTGGGAAATATACCTGACCCCTGTAGTGCCCACTGTAAGGAAATACAACCTCTTCCCAGACAGGCTTTTAATGAAACCAAGAATCAAGCATCTCTATCTATTTTGTGTATTGGGAATCCTTGATTTCTTAACAATTAATTGATTATTTTTTTGTAACACATTACAAATTCTAAAATATTTTTTTGTTAACATTCCGTGCATTGAATGTATTTTAGTTTGACTTTGTATGTACAGAAATCATGATGAAATTCCATATTTTTATCTTTTTTTTTGGGTGTTTTAATTAATTTTGATCGAGTTTCTTCTTCAGTGGATGATTCTATCAACTGAATTATTCGAGTGGGAAGCTTCGTTTAAGTTTTAATTAATAAAGTATCAGCCTTACCAGCAAAATTCTCTCCAAGATTATATTGAACTCAGAGTTGAGATGATCAAGTAGTAACAACTTATATCCTGTTTTGCATTCTTAATTAAGCCAACTCCGATGGCTGAAGTAGTTGACTAAGTATTTTCTACATGTACCAGACGTATCCGTGTCTGAAAAAGTTCATGCTAATGTTAAATGTATGTACATTTATGTATGGAATATTGGAATGTCAACCTTCTTTTATGTTTTTTCTCCATTTACAAAGTTTCTGGTTAAGGATAATTAAGCCCTTTGAAAGATTACGAAGGCCGTGACATGTATACACAAAAATAATTCGCATTTAGGCAGGTGGTGGTTGCAACATTTCTATCACGGTATTTCAGAATTTGGGCTAATTGATTGGAAACTAATTCCAAATTAAAGTCCTAATCTCTTCTTCTGGACAAAACTTGTTTGACTTTACATACTTTTCTTAATTTGCTCAAGCGCCAATTGAAAGTTTCAAAATCAAAAGTGGGATACATGAGAGAGTTTTGAGAAAGGAAACTAGTTTTCTCTGATCAATTAGAAAGATATATAAAAACAGTTTTCTCTTCAAGCTCCTTAGAAAGTATATGAATGGCGGGTGCAAGCGTTAGAAAAGACTTGCACTTTCTCCCCTATAAATATATACTTTTTCCTCAAAGAAAACTGAAACGACTTGCTCTTTCCCCTACAAAATACTATTCTCAAGTCTCATTATATTGAAAGTTAAAGGATAAATCCCACATTGCATCCCCTAACATTTGCATGTATGTAGAAATAGGGGTGTTTGTTTTGATATTTCATGAACAACTATTACTTATTGTCTTTAATTGAATGAATTCGATATTATAAATTATAAATAATAGTATTTATTGACTATCTAACTATTAAACATATTTGAACAACTAATTCAAACAACTCAATAAATTAAAATTAATTGACATATTAATGGGGATAAATTCTCGAAAGCATCGTGTTCAAGTATTGTTGTCATCATGTCGTCTACTGTATTCAAATTGTGAACCGGACCCAACTATTCCGAAGTAAAAAAGATTACTGCCTTATCCCTATGTGGCAAGGTCATGGCTCCCACTCTCACCATGAACAGAATATGAAATGCAATGAAAATATGCAAGCGAATGCAACAAATCCTTTTGAATTATTTGGTCAAAAGAGTAACTATGATATAATGTTAACAAAAACAACAAGAACGTTTATTTAATTCTCTAACATTCTTCTACAGATTGCCTGATATAATATTCATATTTCTGCGAATCCCTCAACTCAATATTAAACTGGTAGAACATCCCCTTCACCAGCCGGATTTCATTATAATATTCATCCTGTTCTCCTAATGTCTCTTCTTCTCCTTTCCCCTCGTGGGTATTTAAGATCTGTCAAACTTCGTTCAGAAACAACACCATCTCATCCAATTTCCGATTCCTCATTACATCAGAAAGCAAAAATAACATTTGAATCATGTCTACAACATCTGTTCTGTGTTTCCTCCTCTGTTTCATCTCACAGCAATGTATGTTCACCTCCGCTGCCGGTGGTAGTTGGGCACTGTTACAGGAAAACGTCGGTATAGCTGCGATGCACATGCAGTTGCTTAACAACGACCGTGTCATTATGTTTGACCGAACTGATTTCGGGCCGTCCAATTTGTCTTTACCGAATGGTAATTGTCGGAATGATCCAAATGACAGGACGTTGAAGGTGGATTGTACCGCTCATTCAATTGAGTACGATGTTCTTTCCAATACATTCCGTGCACTCACGGTGCAAACCGATGTTTGGTGTTCTTCGGGTGCTGTGATGGCCAATGGTAGTCTCATTCAAACGGGGGGGTTCAATGATGGTGAGAAGAGAATTAGGATTTTCACCCCCTGCAACAACAAATGTGACTGGGTTGAAGTGCCAAATGGATTGGCTGCAGCAAGATGGTATGCCTCTGATCAGATCTTGCCTGATGGTAGAATGATTATCGTGGGCGGCCGAAGGCAATTTAATTATGAGTTCTATCCTAAGAATACTGCTCCTGGTCTGTTCAGTTTGCCATTCTTGTTGGAAACAAATGACCGTGGGGTGGAGAACAATCTCTACCCTTTTGTTCATCTCAATGTTGACGGTAACTTATTCATTTTTGCAAATAATCGAGCAATTCTGCTAGATTATGTGAAGAACGTAGTGGTGAAGACGTACCCGACAATCCCAGGAGCCGAAGCTCGGAGCTACCCCAGCTCTGGCTCCTTAGTGTTACTTCCCTTGAAGAACATACAAGCTCCAAATGTCCAAGCTGAAGTGTTGATATGCGGTGGAGGCGCAAATGGATCTTACACCCAATCATTAAGGAAAAAGTTCTTACCTGCTTTGGATACTTGTGCTCGAATCATTATAACCGACTCAAACCCGGAATGGGTCATAGAGACAATGCCACTACGCAGAGTCATGGGTGACATGATATTACTACCGGATGGTAGTGTTCTGATCATCAATGGTGCTGCGTCTGGTTCTGCTGGGTGGGAACAAGGTAGGAATCCAGTATTGAGTCCAGTCATCTACCGACCCAATAACCCAATTGGGTCACGTTTTGAGGTTCAAAACCCAACTACCATCCCTAGAATGTACCACTCCACTGCAGGGCTAGTTCGTGATGGGAGGGTGTTGGTCGCTGGAAGCAATCCCCATGTTTATTACAAATTCACAGGAGTACTTTTCCCAACAGAATTACGCTTGGAAGCATTTTCTCCAGACTATCTCAACGCCCAATTTGATAACATTCGTCCGACTATCGTTGCACCAGTGAATCAAGTGATTCTATATTATAGTCAAAACCAAAATGTACGTTTCAGTTGTACAGGGGCAGTGATTCAGAACCAAGTAGAGGTGGTACTGGTGGCGCCGCCATTTGTGACGCATTCGTTCTCCCAAAACCAAAGGCTGCTTGTGCTTGGAAACAACAAGATGACCGTATTGAGCAACAACCTTTACAACGTGGAGGCAACCATGCCACCATCGCGTATTCTTGCGCCCTCTGGATTTTATCTGATGTACGTTATTCATCAAGGTATACCAAGTCAAGGTATTTGGATCAACTTAAAACAACGTTAGTTATTTTCTTAACAAAATTCTGGTTTGTGTTCCTAAATTAATTTCTCAAAATTAATCTTTTTTTTTTTTTTTAAGTCTGCATTTGTATTGTTAAAGGACAAGATTCTGGTGCTTTTTTTTTCTTAATTAATTTTCATGAAAATTGTAATATTCTCCAGCTGGGCATTGTTCATTTTACCAAGTTCATAATCAATAAAATTGTGGGATTGGTCACCCTCGTTCTCTTTCTTTTTTTAATGTTATATGTAATTATTTGTTACAGTAGCATTTTAGCCAGGTGGTGGTTGCAACATTTTTGTAATAGCAATTGACTTGAGATTAGTTAATTAATAAATTAATTAACAACTTATTCAAAATTTACCTTTTCTCTGTATCCATGTTGAACGTATATTATTAGTTTGAATTCACCTTTTTTTTTTTTTTTGCTGCCAGCAAACTAAGTTGAGTACATGAATGACCGGCTCAAGAGTTTATTAATAATATTATTTTTTTATTAATTTTTTAGTATCCAATAATCACATTGAGTTTCGATTAATTTGAAATTGAGTTTCGATTAATTTGAAATTGAGTTTGGACTAATTTAAAATTGAGTTTCGACTAATTTGAAATTAAGTCATTTCGGACCTCATTAAGAAAAAACTTTTCATCACCTGTTTCTTCATTTACAATATTCGAACTTAAAACTTTATTTAAGGGGAATCAAACTCCTTATATTCGGATCAACAGGTCGTTGGTGACTCTAGTATTTTTTTACATTATCAATAAAGAGCAAAATTGAAGATTAATTATGGAAGATTAATATGCTCTAGGTAGATAATGAAAGTGGTTGAAAACTTGAGGGTGGAATATTTAAAAAAGGAGAAAATTTTACGAGAAAAGAGAACTGTTTGAAAAATATCCTAATCATAAATACTAAATTAGTGAAGAATTAGAGGAGGAAACAAAAAGAAGAATTACTTACACCTTACAGCACACACCTCCCCTGCCTGGTAGTGGGTGCGTAATGATATATATATTTTATTTAATAAAAAGAAGATTTTTGAGTTAATTAATTTTTTTATATTAAAAGTATAGAGTTTTGATCTCAAATGGATTAATATGAAAAATGAGGGAGAATTATTTTTATTGTGTAATTAATTTTTTTTAAAAGAAAAACTAATTATAAGCATATTTCATGCGGAAGAGACCGTACCCTTTTTTCCACCCTTGTTTTAATATATGTAGCTACTATATATTAACATCAAAGGAGCTGTAAACCAAAACAATGTTAAAAACAAGATAAAGGTCTTTAAAGTTCTTGATCATATATTAAAGAGTAATGATTCGCGGAACGACGTTGCAGGCCGATTTTGAGGGACGACAAGTGAAGCAGTCCCAATAGTAATTACCAATTTGATTCTGCTTTACTTGTCGTCCCCCAAAATCGTCTTGTAACGTAGTCCCGTGGATCATTACTCTATATTAAAATCAACACAAAAAGAACCGACTGGCTAAACTAGTTTCGTAATGCGATGCGATGGACCATGCTGTGATCATTTATGCCTGCCATACATGCCTACGGGCAATAGGAAGAAAATGGTTATTCCATACTATATGGTTCACAATAAATAAATAAAATAACCAAGTGTCCTTTTAACTAATCCAGTCGATCTTAAAGTTAATGCTCGTCTTGCTTTTTGTGGTGAAGCATACAAAGCAGAATATTGCCATTTTTAATTGATATTATAAACTGTTAAAATTTTAACCCAAATTTATAGGAAAATGATGAGTGCACACCCGAATCCCACATCCGGGTGTGCATCCCCCGTATAAACGAAAAAAAAAAAAAAGCCCATCACCCAATTCAACTTTTCTTTTCTTTTTTTATGTGGGGGTGCACACTCAGTGTGCACCAATTATCGTCTAAATTTATATTAAAAAAGTCAATAAATCAAACTAAAACTATTGCAAATAAATAAAGAGAGTATCTGAATTAACTTTTTAAAAAATAATTATCAGTAAATACTTTTGATAAGTTGTTGAATATTGGTTATCAATTATACTTAATTTAATTAAAACAAAATTTCTTAGATCCACTTGTTATTATCAAGGGGATTATGATTTGTACAACAAGATCCCAGACACAGTGATTTTGTTTTTTCTCAACCGCCAGCTAATGCATGTGGGAAAATTTTCTGGTATCCACTTGTTAATATCAACGGATTGTGATTAATTGATTAGTATAACATGACAGACACAGTGACGTTGGTATAGTCTTCCCCAAAACCCGCTAATTAAGCCTACATAACTAACTGATAAGACTCCAGTTTATAGCTTTCAAGCAATCAACTCTATGATTTAGATTAGATTAATTCTTGCCTTACCCACAACTCCTTCAATCCCTATCTCCATCACATCTGGTAATTTCTTCTTTCTTCTTTTGAGCTTTAGAACATGTGACATTCTAACTCATCTCAATTACGCCTTTTCTTTTGTTGGTAATTGTCCCTCTTCATTACTCTTTATTCTAATGGGCCATTGATAAATGAATATTAAACAAGAAATATTTCTAACTGCTTAGAGGCTGTTTCATTTGTGGGAGAGGATCTATTTAAATCAGGAACATTTTAATTTGATTGGTCCAAATATTACCCATTCCCCCCTTTTTTTTCTTCCTTGAAAATAGACATATTATTATAGTTTTATAATAGGAAAAGGAGAAAATCGAGAAAATACTAGGACGTCTAATAATAGTCATATAATAAATTTGATAAAATTAAAATCTACACTATATCTCACATATTTAATGATTAAGATTGGATATTAAATGTTGAGACGTTTTAATTTTTCGTTTTCTGTTTACAATAATAATAATATAAAACTTTGTGACACTGATGAAATGGGTCTAGCCTGTTTAGCTCTGGGCTCAAAAGTGGTCTTAGAAAAGCCATTAGATACGAATGCAAATTAAACCCATTCATTAACAAATTGATATTGGACTACAATTACCGGGCCTTACTTGGAGGGCTGGAAGCCCATGGGATTGGAATTTGGAGCTGAAGCATCCAAAAGGCCCAAATAAAATTGAACTATCCAAATCCATCAAGATCAATTATTGACCCGACCCAATAGACGGGGCGCATGACATGCAAAGTCAAAATCAGTTTACTCCAAGTCCAAACGCACCGTACTGCTTTTCCGCCTTCCCCTCGCTCACACGTACAGAACGTGCGATGCAATATATTATTTTATTTCCATTTTATTTTAATCATTTTACCCTCAGGTCGCGGCGGAATAAATAGCGGCAGGGGCAAGACCTTCCTCTTCCGGTACCAAGTCGCTAACGTGCACCTCTCCGGTGCTCTCTTCTCGGCAAACTCCATTAACGTTGCGTTTCTCTGCTCCAACACACAGGTCTGACTCTGTTTCCCTCCTCTATACAGGGCTTAGCAGCTCTCTCCAAAAACCCTACGCTCTTATTCTTTTTTTCCCTTTCTCAATCTTCATTGAATTGTTTTGTGCTAGAATATAAGCAAGGCATTGGAGATACTTCGTAGGAATACACTGATTGGAGGAGTTTGAATTTCTGCTTAGCTATCCGTTTTCGAGAATATTTTTGAATGCTTGGAATTTGATGGGTGTTGGGAATTTTGGGGTTATTGGATTCAATTGCGTGAAGGAGGGAATCTGTTTGTGAAACATGAGCTTTAACTTTTTTATGATAGATAAATGGAAAGTGAGAATGGTTCTAGTCGTGGGACGGGTATAGAGTTACAATTTGATGGAAGAGCTAATGATAAGCTAGGGTTACACAAGGGTTTTTCAGAGAATTCGATGAAAGTTGGGGAGAAGGCAATGGATGGGGAAGAGGAGAAGTCTGGTTCTAAGAAAAGACCGAAGGTTCCGGAGGTTGGACTTGATTCGGATGATGATGAGCCCATTGGGTTTCTGTTGAAGATGCGGAGACCTAAAAACGCTAAGAAGATTAAAGGGGGACTGGAGGGTGGTGGCAGAAAGGGCCATAGGGTGGAGAAGAAGGAAGAGAAATTGGTGATTGAGGATGAAGATTTGGGGGGTATGGATGATACTTTGGCTAGCTTCAGGAAGAAATTGAAGGGTCCCAAGAAAGATGTTGGATCTGGAACTCTAAGGGGCCAAAATTCTACTTTGCATAGGCCTGTGGGGGGTGATGGGGCTTCAGTTCTGACATCTGTTTCAAAGTCTATGGATAAAGGTCAGGTTCTTTGTGAAGGTGGATCTAATATGACTATGGATAGAAGGGTTGAGAGCAAGCATGCGGGAAAGGTGAAGAGATCCAAGAATGATTTACAAGCTAAATCAGTGGTGGTTGCTGATAATTCAGATGGACCAGAATGTCAGGTTGATTCATTGGAAGGTCAGAATGAGGAAGCTTTATGGCCTGGGAAGGATTCTAATAGGTCCTCAGATGAAAAGTTGTCATTATCCATGTTCTCTGAGAAGAACCAATCTGATCTGGGAAAGAAATCTGGCACAAATTCAAGTTTTAAGAAGAACTTGAAGGCTCAGAATTCGGAGGATGGATTAAATCTTTGCTCTACAGGTGGGACAAAAGCTTTGGTGAATCATGAGTTAGAAATGCCCAATTCTACTTTGTCCTTGGGGAAAATGGTAGAAGTTAGTGAGTTTTGTGACATAGAATTGCATCAACAATCTGACCTTTCAGCCATGCATGTTCCAAAGGCATGCTTTGAGATTTCTTCTCCTGCTAAGCAAGGAACTTCAAGACCTTGTTCTGCTGATGAGTTCCAGAAGAAATCTTGTATAAATGCATCCGAGGAAGCCACCAAATCAGAATGTCGCTCTGCTCTCAATCAGTGTGAGGAAGTTTGTGAACAAAATCAAAATGCTTTGTGTTTGCCTTTGACTTGCAATAACAGTCCAAATTCATGCCTGGAAGAGAAGAGTTTAGAAGCTCATGCAAATGCACATGAACTTGTCTCCTCCATTCAGCACTTCAAATCCTCATTACATCAATCTTCAGAAAATTTATCTAAAGGGACTTCTTTTACTAGTCATGATTTTTCATCCATCAAGGAGGAGGCTGATGGAGCCTTTCCTATGTCTATAATACCAGATGAAATTGAAGGTTCTGTGCCTAATTCTGAACCAAAAGACATTAATTTATCAGCCAACCAGCGTGCCGGGCGTAGTGGCAGAAAGCACAGGCATAGAGATATGGCTTATGAGGGAGATGCTGATTGGGAGATTTTAAGCGAACAAGGTTTCTTGGGAAGCCAGCAGGCTGTAGATGGTGATTCTTATGTTCAAGAGAGAGAAAAGTTTGATGAAAATGACAATGGTGCAGCAGCAGCTGTATCAGCTGGGCTGAAAGCTCGTACTGTTGGTCCAGTTGAGAAGATCAAATTTAAGGATGTCTTGAAGCGCAGAGGTGGGCTTCAGGAATATCTGGAATGCAGGTTAGTTGTTGCTTTTGAATCTGATGTCCTGTAACTTTTAAATTTTTTATCTTTAATGTTTTTCAATTGCTTGTTCCAATGCAGAAATCATATTTTAGATCTTTGGAGCAAAGATGTTAGCCGTATTTTACCTCTTGCTGACTGTGGAGTCAGTGATAATCCTTCTGAGGAAGAAGAGGAGTCACCCCGTGCTTCCCTACTGAGGAAGATTTACGTATTTCTTGATCAGAGTGTAAGGCTGTACTTTTTAATCTGTTTTGTGTTATTAGTTTGTTACATTTGTTTCTTTTAGACTACATCTGTCTACTTATTTTTTCCTTTTGCTTGTTAGGTTTTAAATGATTTTTGTTTTTGTATTTTTGTGTTATTTTATTACCTTTTGATGGACATTTTGTATTTTTTGAAGTTGGTTAAAAAAAAAGGGCTTTAAATTTTTCAACAGGGTTATATAAACTTTGGCATTGCTTCCACAAAGGAGAAAGCAAAATCTAGTTCCAAGCATAACTATAGACTTCTTGAGGAGAAAATTGTTGAGTGCAGTTCTGCAGCTTCAGTTGCTGATTCAGATGATGGAGTTGCCTTCATCCTTGGTCAGGTCAAGGGTTCTGAAACTTCTCTGGAGGTAAAGAATGTTGTTGATGATCAAAACCAGTCAACTGGACCCACAATAGGTGGGGGGTTTGTTGATTCAATGACCTTAGAATTACCTGATGGGAAAGAAAATGAGGAATGGTCAGGTGGTAGTTTCCAGCAAAATGGTAGCATAAGTGCGGAAGTGGCAAACATGGTAGTCAATTTGCCAGTCCCAAGTGTGGATGTAGAGATTGATTTGGTGGCAGCTTCTGTAATAACTCCAGAAGAAAGAAATGACTCACAATGTGTTCAGGCTGCCACTTATGATCGTTGTGGGAAGGATCAAGAAATACAATGTGATCCTGAGTTCAGAAAGAAGATCATAGTCATTGGGGCTGGTCCTGCTGGATTAACGGCTGCACGCCACTTGAAACGTCAGGGTTTTTCTGTCACTATACTTGAGGCTAGGAGTAGGATTGGGGGTCGTGTTTACACAGATCGTTCATCTCTTTCAGTGCCTGTTGATCTTGGAGCTAGTATTATCACAGGAGTTGAGGCTGATGTGTCCACTGATCGAAGGCCAGATCCTTCCTCGTTGGTTTGTGCTCAGTTGGGTCTAGAATTGACTGTGTTAAACAGTGCTTGCCCTCTTTATGATATTGTAACTGGTCAGAAAGTTCCAACAAATCTTGACGATGCTCTGGAAGCTGAATACAACAATCTTCTTGATGACATGGTTTTTCTTGTTGCTCAAAAGGGTGAATGTGCAATGAGAATGTCTCTTGAGGATGGTTTAGAATATGCCCTTAGAAGGCATCGTATGGAACGGTTAGGAACAGATGCTCAAGAAGTTGAATTGAGCAATTTCGGTGGAAGAGGTAATGGGGGACAATTTTCTAAAGAGGACATTTTGAGTCCTCTTGAGCGAAGAGTTATGAATTGGCATTTTGCACACCTTGAATATGGCTGTGCTGCATTGCTTAAGGATGTGTCTCTTCCACATTGGAACCAAGATGATGTTTATGGAGGATTTGGAGGAGCGCATTGTATGATCAAAGGTGGTTACAGTCGTGTTGTTGAGTCTCTTGGGGAAGGACTCTCTATCCACTTGAACCATGTAGTTACAAATATTTCATATGGCACGCAGGACTCAGGAGCTGATCATAATCAACATGGTAAAGTGAAAATTTCCACATCCAATGGCAGTGAGTTTTCTGGAGATGCCGTGCTTATCACTGTGCCACTTGGGTGCTTGAAAGCAGAAACCATAAAGTTTTCTCCTCCATTACCTCAATGGAAGCAGTCTTCCATCCAGCGGCTGGGTTTTGGAGTTCTTAATAAAGTAGTACTGGAATTTCCAGAAGTATTTTGGGATGATAATGTGGACTATTTTGGAGCAACTGCTGAGGAAACAGATAGGAGGGGCCAGTGCTTTATGTTTTGGAATGTCAGAAAAACTGTTGGGGCTCCTGTTCTAATTGCCTTAGTGGTTGGTAAGGCAGCCATTGATGGGCAAAATATGAGCTCTTCAGATCATGTACTCCATGCAGTTCTGGTTCTTCGTAAACTTTTTGGGGATGCATCAGTTCCTGATCCAGTTGCATCAGTAGTGACAGACTGGGGCAGGGATCCTTTTAGTTATGGTGCTTACTCATATGTTGCCATTGGAGCATCTGGAGAGGACTATGATTTATTGGGCAGGCCTGTTGAGAACTGCCTATTTTTTGCTGGGGAAGCCACCTGCAAGGAGCATCCTGACACTGTTGGTGGTGCTATGATGAGTGGACTTCGAGAAGCTGTGCGTATAATTGACATACTCTCTACTGGTAATGATTATACAGCTGAAGTAGAGGCAATGGAAGCTGCTCAGAGACGGTCAGAATCTGAGAGGGATGAAGTTAGAGACATAACGAAGAGGCTTGAAGTGGTTGAGCTTTCTAATGTCTTGTACAGAAGCTCATTGGATAGAGCCCGTATCTTGGCCAGGGAAGCTTTATTACGGGATATGTTCTTTAATGTTAAAACCACTACAGGGCGATTGCATCTTGCCAAAAAGTTGTTGGATCTCCCTGTTGAATCACTGAAATCTTTTGCTGGAACAAAGGAAGGGCTAACCACACTCAATTCATGGATGCTGGTATTATTGCGTTTAATTGTTTATCAATTGTCTAGCATTAAGTGTACTCTAATTTCATTTTATAATCTGAAATTTGTAGGATTCTTTGGGGAAAGATGGCACCCAACTTCTGCGTCATTGTGTTCGTATTCTTGTGCTTGTTTCAACTGATCTACTTGCAGTTCGTTCATCAGGTACTTATTTGTCATTAGAAATGTGCTTGCATTGTGTGTCTGGACTTTTCTTTTGGCACTCCCATCAAATTTGCTGGATTAAATGTGTAAGTTTGTATTCTGTTAACCATTTATCTATTTTGCAGGTGTTGGGAAAACTGTGAAGGAAAAAGTTTGTGTACATACAAGTCGTGACATACGAGCCATAGCAAGTCAGCTGGTCAATGTGTGGCTTGAAATTTTCCGAAAGGAAAAAGCTTCAAATGGTGTAAGGTCACTCCGGCAAGCAACTGTAGACTCTTGGAAAAGAAAATCTTTTAAAGATCCAGCTTCAGGAAAGCCACCTCTACGCTCACATCATGGTGCTTATGAGATTAGACCAAGCTTGCAGGGTTCTGTGATTGCTGGAAGCCAGTTAAATTCCAATGTGAAACAGAATAGCAAAACAATCAATCTGGAGGATAAAATAGTTATGTCTGAGGAAGAGCGAGCTGCCTTTGCCGCTGAAGAAGCAGCTCGAGCTGCAGCAAAAGCAGCTGCAGAGGTTTGTCTGATATGCCATGATATTCTGTTGCTTCTAGACTTAAACCTTTATGATTATTCTATGTATTTCTTTACTCAAATCTTTTTATTGTGGTTACACTTGTAAGGATATTAGCTGTTGTATTCTGCAGGTACTTGCATCTTCAGAAGCCAATCGCAACAAATTGCTTCTTCCTAAGATACCTTCTTTTCATAAATTTGTAAGACGGGAGCAATATGCTCAAATGGATGAAAGCAAGTGGCCTGGTGGTGCTTTGGGAAGACAAGATTGTATTTCAGAAATAGACTCTAGGAATTGCAGAGTTAGGGACTGGTCTGTTGACTTCTCTGCTGCCTGTGTTAACCTTGGCAGTTCTAGAATGTCAGTGGATAACCTGTCACAGCGCAGTCCTTCAAATGAGATTGCCTGTCACATGAACGTTAGAGAGCACTCAGGAGAAAGTTCAGCTGTTGATAGTAGTATTTTTACAAAAGCTTGGGTTGATACTGCTGGTAGCGTGGGTGTGAAAGACTATCATGCCATTGAGAGATGGCAATCTCAAGCTGCTGCAGCTGATCCGGGTTTCTATGATCCAACAATGCATATAAAGGATGAGGAAGATTCATATACAAGTTCAATGCACCCAACCTATCATGGACGAGTAAATGAAAGTTCTGTATCTCAAGTGACGATAAACAAGGAGCCATCAAAAAATCATCCCCGTGGTGCAGAGCGTATTAAGCAGGCAGTTGTTGATTATGTTGCATCATTGCTAATGCCTCTTTACAAAGCAAGGAAAATTGATAAGGATGGATACAAGTCGATTATGAAGAAAAGTGCAACAAAGGTTTGTTTTCCTTTTCTTATCCAAGCGTCCTTCCATCCCTCTCTCCTTCTTCATCCTCTTTGTCACTCCTTTATGGCCTTAGCCCATTGTCCTTGTTGCTGCCACTTATCTTCAGTCCTACTTTTTTCACTCTTATCAGGTCATGGAGAAGGCAACAGATGCGGAGAAGGCCATGGCTGTTTCTGAATTTCTTGATTTTAAGCGCAAGAATAAGGTCTGTACTCAACTAGCATGGTATTAGGTTAAACCTGCCCTGTCCACAGTACTACTTGAATTTACTTTTTATTAGTGTTATGTTTCTTTTCTATCTCAAAGATTCTCTAGTAGCTCTTGATTGCTATGTGAATTTTTCCTGGTTTAGTTTTTGCTTTTCTTATGGTTGGATGGGAACATCCTCTGTCATGGTTGTTGTATTGTCTGGACTATAATAATTTTAATCTAAACTGGAATCAATCCTTTTGTTGAGTAGTTGATAGCGTATTCTTTTGGAACTGCAAGCCTTTAGTGGTGATATTCTGTTAGTTTGGTTATTGCTTGAACTTAACACTCTCTGGAATGCCTTTATCATGCAGATCCGTGCCTTAGTGGACAAATTGATTGAAAAACACATGGTAATGAAATCAGCTGCAAAATCCTGATGATCCTGAAGATTGACTGGATCTTTATCGCACTAATGTGTAAGAGAAAAAAAGTCTCCACACATATGAGGTTGGCTGCACTAATGTGTTCATCTTTGTTGGGCTCCAAAGGATGGAGAGTACCCAAGATTTTTGTTCCGGGATCGCCACAGATCAGAGATGTTAGACAACTGATGCTTCTTGGTTTAAATATTTGTACAGCTTAGGATTCTTTAGTGATGACAAGCATACAGAGGTCTTCCATCTGGACACAGTTGAACATTCTCCCAGATTTTTTTAATTGAACAGTAATTGCTAACTGTTATTTCTTTCTCCAAAGCTTGGCAAAGGAATGACAATTTATATTCGTGGAAACAATATGAGTGCATCTGTCAACTTGCTTTATCTTTGGTTGTGTGACTTGCATGGCATGATATGCACGTATCCTATTTCTTGTTTCAGGAATTATCCTAGTTACCTCAATTTTGATGCGACAATTGAAATGTTACAGTAAGATGCTTGAATAATGGACCTGTACTTTCCATTTGATCTAGTAATATTAGCATTGACATACAATTCTTGGCGTTATCTTATCTGTATGCCTTGTTCTGGTAAATTCCTTGCTAACACTTGTTTCTTAATATTGCCAGGTTGGGAAGTGCTATAATTGTCTGGTTAATGAGGTATGCCCTGATTCACTCGGTTAAAAAGGGTGTAATGTTTTGTTTCTTTTTGTTTCTACCCGTCTTTTCCTGTCTGCCTACATGCTTAGTATGTATTGTGTTGTGTCCAATAGCTGATACATAGTGGTAGATTGAATTGTCCAAATGAATCAGGCGTGTGTACTCTTTTGTTCTGCGTATTCTTTGGTATTCATAGGTAAGTTGGGATCGCAGGATCATTCTGTTCTGACATCTGAGGTGGCTGAATCTAAAGAATAGAGCCCCTTTCCCAGGTTTTAGAGGCATGAATTGTTTCTTGCAGATGATTGGGAACTACTTGTCTATGGTAAACTAAGCTGGTTACATTGTGCTACTCTTCAATGTCAGTTCAGTGGGTCTCCTTCCCTATCATATGGTTTACTTCTTAATTTTATGCATGAAAAAAATATACATATACAAATTAGTTTTAAAATTAATTTTTCCATTGAAAGTAGGTTGCATTTCATTCATGAAAATAAAAATACAAGTCATGATAATCTTTATTGAATAATGTTGACTTCTAATCAAAATAAAAAATGATCAATCACATTTTTGTCATAATTATCAATATTATTAAGTTTGTAATTATACATGCATAGTAATTTATATATATATACACACACACAGAGGATTGAGAAAAATCAGAATGTCTTGGTAAGTAACATGTCAATATTAGTAATGAAAATATTGCAATGTTTCTAATGAATCAATATATAAAAAAAATTATCAAGTATATTTGAATAATTTTTCATAAAATTTTAATATTTAAAGTGTCAATACATAGTGATATTTACCTTTTTCTATGTACATACTACTTCTGTTTATTAGAATTATTCGTTGCACTTTGACTCTACACTTCATCTAAGTTTTTAAATATCATGTCCATAATAAAGGGAAAATTTTCCTCTAGCGTAGTTTTTACTGGTTAAATTCACCTAATAAAAATTTTCAATTATTATTTGTATGTTACCTAAATTTTGCATGGAAGTATTTTTTATTAGTGGGATTAAGATAGAGGAATCTTTTTTTTTTTTTTATGACAAAAGTAATGGTTAGGAAGTTAGTAGAGTTAGTTGTTAATAACTGAGAGTGAACAATCCACCCTCTCAAAAGAGACGTGCGACTATTAGATCGCAAATTGATGGAGTTTACGGCGGTGATAGAGCTTAAAGCACTGACTTCCGATAAAGGAATCTTACTTGCCCTAAAACTGGGAAAATGTTTTTCGACTTGCTTTAAATTAAAGACTAATGTGAGAGTACATCTATATCTTTATTTAATTTATTTAATTATAAAATACGTAAAAATTAATTATAAATTTAAAAAAATATAAAGAGACCTGTATCGGAGGTTAAAAACAGGGATTTTATTATTTGGCGATATATTTATGGGTCGGCCCAAGTAGACAAATCGATACGAAAAAGAGCCCAACCTCGTATTAATTTATAGAAAATAATAGAAAGGATAGTTTTTTTTTAAAATATTTTTAGTATGGAGTTATATATTATTTAAATAATTAATTTTTTATTTTTTACATTTATAATATTAAATATATATAAATGAGTATTAATTTATATTGAAAGAATTAAGTTAAAAAATATTTTAAAATTATATTATTTTAATAAAAATTTTTATGAATTTAATTAATATTTATTTATTTAATAATAAATAAAAATTATATTAAAAAATTATATAGGTAATTCTTATATTACTGTATAATTTATGTAATTCTTATATTACTGCATAATTTATTGCCACTTACGGCCACGGCGGGTCTGTTCGCAGGAGAAAGTGTTGTATTTACATCCATCGAGAAGTCTCCGGTCGTTTGGGAATTGCGGGAACAGACACTCGGAGATCCGGTCCACCGTCCTATTCCTCCAAAGATGTCCTCAACTTTCAGCGGCGATGAAACTGCTCCCTTCTTCGGCTTCCTCGGCGCCGCCGCCGCACTTGTTTTTTCCTGTATGTGATCAATTTCAACCGATCGATATTTTTCTACTGTTGATTTACTTGTTTCGTATGGATCTGGGGTTTTGATCGGTGTTTCGTAGGTATGGGGGCTGCATACGGGACAGCCAAGAGCGGGGTGGGTGTAGCGTCGATGGGTGTAATGAGGCCGGAGCTGGTGATGAAGTCGATAGTGCCCGTTGTTATGGCCGGTGTGCTTGGTATTTATGGATTGATTATTGCTGTTATCATCAGTACCGGAATTAATCCCAAAGCCAAATCATACTACCTCTTCGATGGTTACGCTCATCTCTCTTCTGGACTTGCTTGTGGCCTCGCTGGTCTTTCCGCTGGCATGGCAATTGGGATCGTTGGCGATGCTGGTGTTAGGTATTCTTCTTAACCCTATCTCTTGATTCAATTGTTGCACTGCTTTCTTTCTTTCAGAATTCAACTACTTTTAGCTTCTATTGTTTTATGCCATTTGATTACATTTCTTATTATTGTTTTGAACTACTTGAATCTGATTATGCACCATACTTCATGGTATTAGTAATTTAATTTTTTTTATTTTTTATTTTTTTTGCTGCTAATCTTAATCTGATATGATTTGGTGGGAAAGTGCAAGTTGCTTGTTAACTGTTTTTCTTAAGATGTTAGTAAATTGGGCGTTGGGACGTTACATGGGATCTGGGGTTTTGCTTGTGGAGCTTACTCACTATTTGAGTAACATCACAGTTTGCCTTAAATCATATAAATAAGTTGAGCATATTGTGTTACTATCATTTAGTAATTAGTATATTCATCATAGAGTTAAGAGTTCTAAGGTTCTGCTTTGGTAATCCTTTTTCCAGTTTCTTTAGTGGGTCCATTATGACATTTTGTGCGTAGTTATGTTGTTTTCTTTTTCCTACGTACACTTCTTAAGGTTTGTAGGTTTTTCATATTCTTCTTCTTGGGTGAGTGTATTTTGAGATCTTTTTAAGGCTTGGGATACATTTGAGCTGGGAATTGTGGACCATATTGAGATGCTACCACGTTCCTTGTGGTAGTCTTGTTAGTGAAGAGTAAATTTCTTTGGCATCCTCACTTGTTTTCTCTCCTCTCTTTTACTGGTAGTTTCATTGTTTTGAACGTTTGCATGGTGTTCTCTATTCCCTTTTGATGATTTGATGCTAATGACTTCACTATCTTAATTTACAGAGCTAACGCACAACAGCCGAAACTTTTTGTTGGAATGATCCTCATTCTTATCTTTGCTGAAGCATTGGCACTTTATGGATTGATTGTTGGCATCATCCTTTCATCCCGAGCTGGTCAGTCAAGAGCTGACTGAAAGAAGACCGAACTTGCTTGGTGTCTTCTTTACCAGATACTAGTTGTACTGTTAAGGGTGTCAATTTTACTGCCAGATTAGGTAATTTATCTAGATTTATGGTAGAATGTAGAATTAGAAATCATTTCCTTCAATAATTATAAAACCATCATCGTGTGATCTTTGTTTCATCATTAAAGCTGTACTTATTGATGCTACCATTTGAGACTGTTGAAGAAATATTGTTTGAAATTCTTTGGCTATTCTAAATGCCGCACTTTTGCCATCAAATTCAAAAATATTAAAATATTGAGATTGTTTAGTTTGCTACTAATGGTGTTTAGTTCGCTACTAATGGTCTCCTTGTTCCTTCATGAAGTACAGTTGAGAATGGGATCATCACCATTGGCAGTGATTTATTATCAAGCCTTGTATTGTATATCCATTTCTATAGTTTTTCTTACAATTCCATGTAAGAGAACACTGATCTGTCGAGTTTCTAGCATGTGGGTCAAAGTAGAGTAGAATTCGTAATTTTGTATGTCCAAATTGATTGGAATGTGAAACCTAATCCCTTTTTGTTTGGATTTGGGTTTTTGGAGGGGAAAGTGAAGACAGTGAGGTGAAGATATCTTCTCAAACTTGTTTGGATTTTTTTCTTAATGGAAAGGGAGGGGGGTGGAGGGGCCATTGAATCCCTTCTACTCCTTTGTTTTCCATTTAAACATTTAATTTTTTAAAAGAAAATAAAGATATAAATATTTT